TTTACTTATACATATTATGTTTCAATTTACAAGATTTATATACTGATTTATGCACTGTGTGGCGTAGAGCGTATCAGGGTATGAAAATAAATTAAATTCCCGAAAACTTATGTACATATATCCACAGAAGATCTTACTTAATAGCCCAAATCTAATAAGACCATACCATATTCGCAACCTTGAATAATGTTACAGAACCTATTTAAAATTCGTAAGTACATGTGTAACGGTAACCAAAAGAGCCGTAGTAACTTCTTGCTAAACTAATCCTCAAAATGTATAGTCCCATTCGTTGCAAGTCGAAACAATCTTCGCGCCTTCTATCATATCAAACCGTGTCCGCGACCGCATATCAATTTTTCCAAGCGCGATTAAGATTTTAACGTACATTAGCAATGTTAACATAACGTGCCGCGTTACGTTCTAACGCCGTAACCGATTCAGCACGCTCTATATTATCCAACGGAGCTGGGCCAATAGCGTTTTGTTGGCGAACGCATTGCAATGCGTAACACGAGTAACGGCTATTAGGCCTTGGAGAAAAACGATTGCAGAGAAGGCGAGACGCGGAACATGTAACGTGAGATATTTCGTAATTGTTGGACAACGTTTTAACTTTTGCTCAACCCACATAGATAAGGGTAACTAAACGGTAAGTTACAACGTTACGTATACAAGGAGGGATATTACAAATGGAACATATCCAAAGCATAACTCCTGGAAAATGGCCATAATACTATGATTAACATAAATAGATAAAGAAAAAGATTAACATCTATAAAGATTCCCTCTGTTTAATTTAAAAGCAATTGTCAAATATTGTAACTATGTCCCAAAGAAAGGACTCATAATATCTCCTCGCTCTGCAATTAAAGATACGAGAGATGATATTTATGTCAGATGACTCGTATGAATCCAATTCTAAAATAGATCCTGGCCATCGTAATATCGCCAGGCAACTAACATTAGAACATGATACATGAATTGATAGTTGTCATTTTGGCAGCAAAAGTTAACGGTGGTAGGGCACGCACGCAGCAGCCTCGGCTGTTGCACGATTGGGCAGGCTAGTCAGGGTAAGTACCACGACCTCACAGAAGACCGGCGTAAAGTGGAAGTATAATACTTTCGCGTTTCGTCTGGTGAGTGAGGTGGCCGAAGCCAACGAGGATTTCGAAAGGTTGTCAACGCATCTGCAACCCTCGGGTGTATGGGCGGCGGTATTGACTTAAAATATCAGGTGAACCGTCTGCTCGCTCGACAACTTTTCACATTAAAAAAAAACCTAGTCCGATAGCGAATTTACCTCAAAATAAATTAAAGTATGACGACGCTCAAAGCAATTGCCTCAGAGTTTATTAATGTGAAAATTATTCGTTTGGCAAGTGAAGTCAGTTTTCTTGAAATAACCTCGAGTGAGCGAGCCAGTCATGATTTAGTTTATGAGATTCACGAAACATGTTTGAAAGTCAATCGTAAATAACAAATATATAATAGCGTTTTCCGAAAAATCAAAACATCGTATTATGAATAATAACTTATTAAATAAAGATTTGGGATCAATGGTTTTTTAATATAATTAACCATACAATAATGAAAATATTATTATATACTAATCATTAAAACATCGACGGTAGCCTAGACTTACTGTTTAATCCAATTATATAAAAGGCGCTTAGCGAAGGATAACCCCGTCAAGCAACTTATTAAATAGCTTAAGAATTTATCAAGCATAAAAAATGTTAAATATTTATGATGTTAAAACATGTAACTTTTAAACTTTGACTCATAATCTCATGAAATTAAAACACAAATATAGGTGTCCGCTATCATATCGTTGGAAGAGTGATACAGAGACGTTTGTGGAATATAACACATCAATGCCTCTCGAAACCATCGGCCTTTAGAAATCTGCATATTCACATCTGATGCTCCATTGTGGAATGATGACTCGGGAAAGTGGAAAGTGAATGTCATCTCATTGCCATTGTCTAGGCTTTGCTATTGTTTAGTGTCACTTGTCTTTCTAACCTTTAAAAAAAGTCAAAGACATCGACTGAATGGATTATCATATTGCCCGAGTTACGTTTATGTGCCGCTGAAAACAAATGCCTTTGCAACGCTTACACTTTAAATTTTTTATTCTTTTACAAACAAGATGTACGAAATGTGATACAAATGTATGAAATAAATTTATTAAGTAACGATATGCACGTACCTAAATTTAAGGCGCTGTATGCAGTAAAAATAGGTTTTTCAAAAGATTTTTTAGCAAAATCTACACATTTAATAGCAGCAAAAAATATATGTTAATCTTGATCGTACATTCTAAGGGAACATTGTTTCCAAAACACATTCTTGATATATTTTCTCGATAGAAAAAAATCATGGAACTACCTCTAAAAGAGAAATTCAAAACCAAATATGAACGTAATACATCAACAAATCTTAATGAAATTAATATCAGTGGTGTAGAATATATTAATAAAAAGGATTTTTGTTTTAGTTTTTTGATTGATGTAAGATATTTCTAAATATTAATTTAATTCATTAAAATTAAGTCGAACGCGATGGGCAAAACACCGCGCCACCGCGGCATTGTTTCGACTCTCTTCCAACTCCACACGTTGAACAGAGAGCGCTGAGGCGCCTTGCTAGATGGACCTATGCCGCTCGTCTTCCGCTCACCGTTACGAAATATGTTCCGTATTTATTTATTATTGAGGGTTATAATTTTATTAGATCTTTCGAAAACACGAAACTATAAAATATATATTCACATATTTCGTATTTTTAATTATTTGTATGAATTAACAACTAAAGCGTAATTTTTTTAATATCTTATCTTGTCATTGATAAGTTTATCAGTCCTATACAAACAGTGTAAAGGCAGGGATGCCAACTTAGGAATTTTCTTCCGAAATTTAGGAATAAAAAATGTGTAAAAGTAAAATACAATCATGTCTATAAGACATATTATAGGGATCATCTGTGTACATTTTCGAAAGCCTTCCATGATACTATCGATAGTATCCTACGGCCCATCACTACACACATACTAGGTACCTAATGAATGACTTGGTCTAGCGGCGCGTCCACGAAACTAGCGCGCTGCGCGTCGCTAAGCGGCGTTACCCCTCCTCTGCTTCCTCATACTTCACCACCCAAATAGTTAAAAATTCACTGCATACAGCGCCTTAAAAGTGCTAGCAAAGCCCTACATGCCTTGCAAAGCCTATGTAATTGTTTTTCCAAATTTGTATAGAGAAGAGGGCCAAGAACGCGGGCGTAAGCGGAACAACTATACAAAGTTTCATTAAAATCAAACAAAATCTCACCAACAAAATTTGAAATGGATTTGAAAATAAATAAGCGCCGCCCCCTGGGCACAAATATGGGGCAATGAAATTAAAAAAAAAGGTAACATAATTATTAAGAATGGTTTTTATTTTTATTTTACATTATTTTATTTTTTATACTTTATAAAAAACATGTGCGAATAAAAATCAATAATATATTCTTAACACGTTAAGTAAACCGTAACGGATTAAACAATATCGAAACATGATTTTTAGATCTCATGACCAACTGTTTTTCATCACACACAACTATTGAGGTACAGACTGGCATGTTGAAAAGTCGTAGAGTGGTGTTTTGATGGTGGTAGATTGCGAGTTATTGCATTTATATTTTTTTTTTTATATAATTTTTTTATTTCGTATATTTTATCGTTTTTTATACAAGACAATTTCCAAGTGAAGTCATAATCATTTATAAATGGATAATGAATCAAATAATTCATCAAATGACTAGGAAGTAAACTAAGACTACGCAAATATTCATTATTGATGCGCTTTTTCATCAACTCAAATAGTGGTTGATGTTTGCGATGCATTCCCGGAAACAAACAGAAACCTTTGAAGGATATAAAATTCTTCTATGCTATTCTGTTAGTGAAAAAATTTGTTCTTTTAAATTTGAGCACCAAATTATGCTTAGGTTATTCTTAAACAACCAATAGGAAAGTGCCTATGCAGGTCTCCTAAGTGTTAAGCTCTTAAGGGTTTGATGTTATTGAACCACCGTCATTATATATTTGGAAACCTATAACTCTAAACCGGTGATTGTTCAAGCATCTGGATACTTTAAATCATTGCCAGTCAAGTCCAGTAAAACAATGGCGTTTCTTTTCTACCACTTACAATTTTATAGTTGGACTCATAAATAAGAGTTTAATTGACCAACTTCATACTCAATAATTAATCCATCCATATTAAAATAAATACGAATAGTATAAAAATCCTGCATATCACAACAATATAAAAATTCAGCCAATGTACATCAATATATTCCCTAGGAATGTGCATAGCCTGCTGTATAAGAAGATACCTATACCTATACTATACGTAGTAACTTTTGCTGATGCACCAACATTACTTTCTCGTCCGTGGCAGTACCGCTACCTCGCAGAAGACTGGCCTGAAGAAGAAGTATTTCTTTTTCATGTCGTCTGGCAACTGCAGCCCTGCGGGTGTAACGCTGGCTCGCATCTAACAATCCCGCCTGGTGGTAACTATATCGTTATAGTTTTACACACTACACACAAACGCTTCCAAATAAGAAAAACACTAACATCGTATTATCCTTTAATAATATCGCTTAGTTTAAACTTGGAACACGAACGTAAAAAGCCATTTATAGACCCGCCGCGACCGGTATCGAGCGGAATAGCGGCGCCGGGCGGTTGCAGCGGACAACAAATGGGGCGATAAATCGGCGTCCGGATGTCGCCTAATAAAATCACACTGGACTCTATCATTCGCGCCAAAATCGACCACCGTCCCACAGCGTAGCTATTCCAAAGCCGGCCGTATGCGACATTAATCAGATCCGCCGCCGGTAACAGTAACATTCAGTGTTGTTTTTTTTCTTTTCACACGCGTACTTTTGGCGCCAACGAACGCGATGGCCCAAAACGCTACTCTGCTGCTATGGTTTTAGGTCCATATTTGGTCGTTGCGCCATTTCTTTAGGATGTATTCGACGGGTGGGCGTGCTGGGAGTGTAACGAACTCTCCGCTTATGGCAACAGAGTTCAAGTTCGTTTGTGTTATCGGTTCGTGTTCGACTTTGGCGGGTTTTCCGCGGCCGGCGTCGTGTTCTCGCGGCCCGCGTGGAATGCGGAGATGACCGCTCTTTTCGGCACATATTGCCCCGCCGATTAGCATACGGCCGCTCTGGCGCCCGCGCGTTAGACGATCGGAGCGCTCGTCGAGGAAAACATCTGGCCGAGATAAGGAACACGTCGCCAGAATTCGTTTAGTATCCATTATACATGCAAAAATTATGTAAATAGTTTCAAATTATGTAAGCTCTCAATATATGTTTTTAGCCGTTCGGCGCTATCATATCGTTTTCCTAAGCATTCCTTAAACAAAAACTAACCAAGACACTTAAATATGTCATGGCTACTGATGGGATTCCAAAACTTTTTCGTGATTTAAAAGGTTTGATTTGCCGCATATCAGAAACACGTGCATAATCAAAATATGTTCAAACTCTAATTGTTATTTTTAGCAACGTGCAAACGATTAACATGCGTGCTAGCCAATTAACGGGCCAAACGCACGTGTAAGAAACTTAAAAATAAACTTTTACGTCCACCAAAGGGCAGAGCGTTATCGTATCGTCGAACATACTGCGAATCCACTCGGATAACGTATGTACGGGCATAGTATGGAACTTTCTTTCTTTTTTAAAAACATTGCCTTTTTAAAAACATTGCCCTTACTTTAGGATAACATTATCCTGAGTTGTAAGGACGTTTTACAAACATAAATTTCACGCGAACAAACACCCAAATGCGACAACTATCTGTGGGTCACACAAATACGTGTCCTATGTGGGAATCAAACCCACGACCCCCGACGCCGAAGCAAATACCTTGGCAACTGCGAACACGGAGTCACCAAACTGCAACCGATGATGATACTGAAATTTCTTCAAGGATAAAAATAAAGTAACAGCCTATACATGTCCCTCAGCTGGGCAAAGGCCTCCTCTGTACAGAAGGTACTAGGACATAGTCCAACACGCAACCCCATTCCGACCACTTTAAAAATAGAATAGAATATACTTTATTGTACACAAGGAAATACACTAAGGTGAAATACAGTAAACATAGTTTAAATACAGCGGCCTTATTGCTAAGGTAGCAATTTCTTCCAGGTAACCTTAGCGTACAGGTTACAGGTTCAAAAGTTGCGGAATAACGTAAATTAAGTGCAAAATAAATTAGGCCCAAATATTCGTATACCTACTTACATACCAGCTATATTATAAATACTACAAATAAATACAATATATACATACATATGTGTAAAAAATAAAAATCTTCAAATATACATAACGCTTGAGGAGTGGAAATCCTATATAAGATTTTAGTTTGTTGGTTTTTAGTCTAGATTGAATGGTTTTAGTTTCAAATCACATGATTTTTGGCATAACCAGATGATGCTCGGGCCGTTTTGATAAGTAAAGTCATCGTCGATGTAAGGATCAAAACAATAATTTATAACAGTACTTTATATGCAGAATAAAATATTGTTATATTCATGTTAAACGAAATATGGCAACGTTTCTATTTCACTTTGTTCAAAAATTGGCATTTGTGTTGCATGCCGATCTTTCTAATCTAATTTATAACACTGCTTTGGTTCACGATTTGAATATGATCACACTTCAAATCCCAGTAAGTTACTGTTTTAAGATTTTCATTGTCGAGGAAAAAACTTAAAAGAAAAAAAAACACTATATCAGACCACCCGGTTAGAGGTAATTGAAATTTGAGATATATAAACCCATTTTCTTTTATATTTAAAAGCGTAGTCCATGCAATGGATTAGATTAAATCAACATCCTTTTGAGATAGACTTATAAATACATTTGCACTCGACCTTAATCAAACCCTATAAAGGAGTATGTCCAAGTAGAGTCGTACATGAGTCATATATTTGAACTCTCTGCGCGGTTTGTGCAAATATTGACGCCCGGTTTCTGAAACACTGTTCATCGTAGATGTTAACTAATCAGCTGTCAAATGGCTTTTCAAATATCAACTCTTTGAATTGATCAGAATGATCTTCTAATGATCAGAATGCTAGGTGTTTCAGAAACCGGGCGTGGGAGTACGTACGATGTTATTAGCGTAAAAGGCGATAAGAGTTCGATCCTATTACTTCAGTCGTGTTGAAAATCATTTGAATTTGAATGGATGACTTTCCGTTTCGTCTTTGTCCTAATGATGTTCAGTAAAACATTACTGTGGTAAACCCAGCCAGAAGCTTCTTGTCGTAAACGTGAAGAAATTAATGTTAAAAACAAACAAGAAACGATGTGTTAGTAAGTTTTCAATCTATTGTTTTATTCAAAACAGTATATTATACAAGCAGCTTCTTAAAGTTGACATCAACTATACTTCTATTACCTGCTACAAAAAAGTGCATTAATCGATCTGTTCCCTTTCTAGTCTTAGATTACACTTTCTCCTTACGTCTTATGTTACGTCCGTAAGAACTGGCCTTGCTTGCATCCATTACTGGACTATGTGTCCGCTCAGCTCTCACCTTCGCGTCTAACAAATGATATAAGTATATACAGGGAGGCTTTTTTAAGTGTATCCATTTTTTAATTAAATTGTAGACAAATAATGTTATATAAAAATTATATAAATGTTTAAAATCACTCGTAATTAATTAATTACATTCGTTTAAACTTATCTCAAAAAGTGCGTGATTTATGGGCAACTCATTTATTTTACACGCGTTCGTTTCAAAAGTTCGTTTCAAAAGTATACGGCGCATTTATGAATGACTACCGCATTGTCAAAAAAATCTGTTTTTTAGGGAATGGAATTGCAATTTTTTTGAAAAAAAAGTTTGTTTTTATTTCAATAAAGGATTATACTACCGAGTCTGAACCTCCTGTGTGAATTTGGGAACCTTTACAAAAGTCACCCTGTATACATACACATACATACATACATAAATTAAACATGACACATATACACATAAATAAAACATATACATACATATGTCGTACGCCCAACAATGAAATTATAAGCGATCCTATGAAAAACAATATCTTGGCTTTACATTTCTTCAAGTGATGATAATTTCAAAAGTAATTTCACATAATTAAATAGTTGTATGAACCATCATAACGTCGTCTATGAACGAGACGAGAAGAAATGATAACGCCCATCCAATTAAAATATTTCGCGGAGAATTTAAATAAGAAGCTAAGTTTGGCGAGAAAGAATTAAAACCCAAATCATAAATCTGAATGAATTGAAGAAAAGACATAACACAAAGAATGTCAAAGATACTCGCAAAACTCTCGCAACTCGCAAATCCAGCGCAATTATGCACTAATTACAATCATAGCGATTAAGAATAAAAAAAACCTAAAAAACATAACGAAATTGAAACTCAAACGCAAACAGAACCTATAAATCTCCCAAAGCGACTGTAAAATATTCATATTGGCCGATCGCGGGAGAAAACATGGCGGTCATAAATAAAAAAGCCATTAGGCGTTCGAGAGGAACGATATTAAAAGAAAAAACAGAATAAATAACAGAGACACGAAGACTATGACCCGAGATCCAGGATACGGCCGCCTTCTCGCCGGTGGGCATCCGAATCCGCAATCCCGCCAGTGCGACGACCCTGACTTTTAGCCGGGCCTAACTCACGGACGCTTGACGGTGCACCACTGCTCGATGTCGCGTGGAATAGCACTTAAACACAAGTTCGACAGTTCGTAGGATGTGTAAAAAAATGGAAACATCATTTACACCTATAAATATTAAAAAGGCTAGTTTTTCTTATGTGTCGCGTGCCACCTTCGGCAAGCGACGGTCAACCTGATGTTAGGTTGATGTGATTAGGTTTGTATGATGATACCCGCCGCCCAGGGATAGTTTCAACATCCGTAGGACTGCATATGCGTTGCCACCTTTTAATAATGTGGGCCCCGGCTACCTCACTCACCAGACGTAACGCATTAGTATAATTCTTCCATCTCACGCCGGCCTTCTGGGTCGTCGTGGTACTTACCCGGACGGACCTGCCCCAAACTAAAATGTATTGAAAGATGAGAGATTTCCGGAAGCCACCCTAGTCGTTAAATACTAATTGCTCTCTAAGTGTGGTCGGGAAATTGTGAACTTATTGATGGAACATGTAATCGTTGTGATCGACAAATGTAATCGTTTATCGAAAACCAGGTTGAAGTCTCAATTACAAAATGCTTAATTACAAATATTAGTTTCAAAGATGTACTAAACTGAAACAGGATTGTTGGGGAAGAACCTACAATTTATCTGAAGCTACAGTTCAAAACCCACAGCCTAATAACAAATGTATTTATGGCAATTTTCAAACGAATTCAACACAATTACCATGATTAATTTTTAGTCCACTATACTTGGGTTCTACTACAAAAGGGTACGATAGACGAATGAACTCCTAACAGTATTGATACCATGGTAAATGTCGGCTAGCCGGCCTTCGTTTTTCAGTTATTACAGTAACAAAGCGGAAAAACAATTCACACCACTTTAAACACAAACGATGATTACAAAAACAAACCATTACTTGTAATTCAAATGTGATAACGTGCCAAAGGCAACACATCTTAACAGTAAATAAAACCAATTTGTCCTCTTTTTTTTTTTTGTTTGAACAAAAACCGTACAAGGAAATCTAATAAGCCCATAACCAACGACTGTCGAAGAATCTATCGAACAAACAAAAAAAATCTTACAAAGACAAAAATATTTGATTAACATTATTAAAAAAAAAATAATTCGTTTCTCACGTAAATGATCAATCAAGCTGATCAAGTTTTTCCTTGTATACACGTAATAAATTTCGGTATCGGTAAATAATTAGAAAAAAATAATAATTCGTTTGACGTCATGACAGTGATAGAGACTAGTTCAGACAAAATATAATACCGGTCGGTAACACTTGATTATAAGGGAAATATAATGATACTAACATTCACAAGCCTTCGATTTTTACACAATCGCAGCTCAAACTCCGTTTCCGGGGAGAATGAAATTGTTAACAGCAATTTCATCAGCAGCTGGTTTCTCAGATACTATGCAAAAATGGAAAACAGCACAAGTAGACCTGCGTATCCCAGGAAATATATTATGCTATAATATTGGAGACATGAGAAATCTACACCGGCGCCTTGTGGTGCCCTAATACTCTCTGCACAGAGGAGGCCTTTGCCTGACATTGAAACATATACATATACA